AGATGTTGCCATCGTATGGCGTAGTAGAAATACAGTAACATGTGTATATACTCGATTGCAATGCAACCTAACGTATGTTACTATACCATAATACGGTATCCGGTACTATAATATGATATCATACAATGCGCTATGACATTTGCTATTCCATCATATATCAATATACAGTGAGTATAAGATGTCTCCACATGGTCTATGATGATATAATACAACGCCACCTATTATACATGTATATGTAAGTGTTTCTGTATGTACATATATAGCATATTCATATATAATTGACCCCCTGCCTGGGGGCTGGGGGAGGCCACTCCGCAACCGTCCAGGTCAGGTTGATGCCCCCCCGGTTCGCTTCCCAGAGGCGGCTCGGAGAGGCCAGGGGGTTGCCAAAACGGGACAAGAGGGCCCCAGGCGGCCCCCGAGACGGTTCAAGAATCCCAAGAGGGCCTCCAGACGGTCCAGGAGACTCCAAGATGCCCAAGCGGCCTCCAAGAGGTCTCCCAAGAGAGCTCGAAGAGGGCCCATTTTTTGTTTTTGTGCAATTCTTGCGTTTCTGCCTGTTCCGCTTCCCGACGCTGCAAGACGCCCCAAGAGGCCCCGAGGATCGCCCCAAAACGGCCCAATAGGTTTCAAAAGCGCCCCACGACGGCCCCAAGACGGCTCCGAAACGGCCGAAGAGACGTCCAAGACGGCCCGAGAGGGCCCCAACCGCGGCCCAGGATCGGGAACGTGAACCGAGAACCCCCAGGAAGCCTCATGAGGTCCCAAAAAGCCCCAAAGAGGCCCAAAAGAGCCCCAAAAGAGGCCCCGAGGCAGTTGGAAAAAAGGGGATTCCGACATTTCCATTTTTTGAAGCTTGCCTGGCAGCTTGGCTACGCTTGCAACGTGTTGGAACTACCAAATTTCCTCCTCCTCGTCCTAGTCTTCCTCCTCCACCTCCTCCTCCTCCTCGGGCTTCGCCCACTCAGCTAACATTTCCGGCGAATCCCCGGTATCACCCTCCTCGGCGTCCAAGAGAGCAACCGGGAGGCCTGAAGACTGCCCAGGACGCCCCCGAGACAGGCCGAGAGTACTCCAGTGATGTCCAAGCCTGCCCCGTGACGGTGCTGGGAGCGCCGAAGACCACACAAGATCGCCCCAAGAGGCGTCCGAGAGTCTCCCAAGCGCTCCGGGGAAGCCCTCGAGGGGCCAAGATCATGGGAAAACCAATGGCAAACCAGTGATTTTCTGTTCTGTCGCACTTCCGCCTCCGACACGCTTCCGAGGCTTGAGCATCTTGAAGAGCCCCCCGAGAGGCGTCCACCGAACACCGAAGACACCCCAACTCCCAGAACCCCCCAGGAGCCGTCCAAGAACGTCCCCTCAAGGGCATCCTTCGGCGGCAAATCATGGGAGCCTGGCGTACCCTCTGAATTCCGTCTTTAGCGTCGATTAGCGTCGATTGGCGTCTGGGAGTCGATGAGATAGGGCCGATTTAGCGTCGGGTAGCGTCGATTAGCGTCGACTTAGCGTCGGTTAGCGTCGTTCAGCGTCGATGAGCGTCGATTCACAAGAGCCAACAAGATGGTATGGGAGGCTCCCATGTGTTGCCACCGAAGCATCCCAGAAGACTCCCAGCATGGTTTTCCCAGGCCGTGAGGGAGTTCTCGGGCGCCCCTCCCCACAGGCTGCCCGAGGTTCTCTCCGCTGCCCTGCGCGCTGCATCTGCGGCCTCCCTGGGCGCTCTCCAGAACAGAGCAGGGGGGAAGCGCCCTGCCCGCATGCCTCTGGCGCCAAGTCGTGCAGGACGTCGCCTCCATTGGAAGAGTGGGCCGCGTCATCTGTCTGGTGCCCTGTGTCGTGCAACATCTCAACGCTTCCCAGCAAGGCGCAGCACGGCCCCAGGGATCCCCAATAGGCCGTGTCCTCTGCGGCTTCGGCTGAATCTGGCAGCCCTTGGATGATTTGAGCTGCCCCATATCATTGGCCCCCAGGGTTTCCAAGGGACCTCCCAAACACCTCCGAGATAGTCCGAGGGGCCCTCCAGACGCCCAGAAGATCTTCAAGACCGCGAGAGACGGTCCATAGGCCACGAGCATCCCGAAGCCTCCCAAAGGTTACCCTCGGGCAGCTGCCCGGTGTATCTGGTCAGAGCAGCAGGGCCTCTTAGGGACTGCTTATTCAACGACTCCTGAAGCGTCCATCAGGGAGTACGCTCCCAGATGTTGACCCTTGCGGGGTGATGTCCATGCTCACCCAGTCTGGCAAGTTGACTTGGACTGCGCTAGAACCTAAACGCGCGCGAAGCGCGCGTGGTTCAGTGTGTATGTATATACATAGATGCATACAGGTGTATATATATATATATAGGTGTGTTTATATACACATAACGCACGTAGTCACATGCATATGTATGTATGTATGTATGTATGTATGTATGTATGTATGTATGTATGCATGCATGCATGCATGCATGCATGCATGCATGCATGTATGTATGTATGTATGTATGCATGCATGTATGTATGTATGTATGTATGTATGTATGTACGTATGTATGTATGTATGTATGTATGTATGTATGTATGTATGTATATAGTATGTATGTATGTATGTAGGTAGGTAGGTAGGTATGTAGGTAGGTAGGTAGATAGGTAGGTATGTAGGTATGTAGGTATGTAGGTATGTAGGTATGTAGGTATGTAGGTATGTAGGCATGTATGTATGTATGTATGTATGTATGTATGTATGTATGTATGTATGTATGTATGTATGTATGTATGTATGTATGTACATATATATACACATATGTATGGATATTTAGAAAGTTAGGTAAACACATACATTGGCCTTCGGCCCATACCACCACCGTGCCTGGGTTGTGGGCCAGAGTCCTCAGGGATGCTTCTTGGGGTCTTTTCGGAGCGCTCTCGGGGGCCTCTTGGTGGCTGTTTGGGGACCTTGGGGGCCTCTTGGGCGCCTGTTGGGAGCCTCTTGGGCCTCTTGGGGCTTCCCGGGAGCCTCTTGGGGCTTCCTGGGGGCCGCTTGGGGGCCTCCTGGGGCATCCTGGGGACCTTTCGGGGCCGAGGGCTCGAAATGTCCGTTCGGGTCCCTCGTCGGGGCCCCCTCTCAGAGCCGTCCTGGGGGCCTCTTTTGGGCCGTCTTGGAGACCTCGTGGGCCGTCTTCGGGCTCTCTTGGCTCCTTTTAGGGCTTCATTGCAGGTCTCTTGGGCTATCTTGTGGCGATCTTGGGGGCCTCTTGGGCCGTCTTCGAGCGTCGGGAAGCTGAAACGGCGGAACGCAAAATAAGCACCTGAGGCGCATCGATGATTTTTGCTTCTCGGGGCCCTCTTGGGAGGCCCCTTGGTGGCCTCGTGGTACTTCTTGAGGGCATCTGGGGCCGTCTTGAGGCCACCTCGGGCGATTTACACTGATCCTTCGGCGATTCGGGGCCCTCTGGGACAGTCTTGGGGGTCTCTGGGGGCCCTCTCGGCTTTTCTTTAAGGCCCTCTTGGGCCCGACCTAGTCGCGGGAAGCCGCGACGGGCCGCAGATGGCACGAGGGGAGCCCGGGACGATCTGAGAATTCAGGGTCCAGGCCACGTAAAGAGTCCCCGTGACTGAGGGCTGAGGCTCTGAGATTCGGCCAAGGACCTGAGGACGCTCCAACTCTCACACGCACATGCACACACTTGTGTGTGTGTGTGTGCGGGAGGAGAGAGAGAGAGAGAGAGAAAGCGAGACAACGGGGGAGAGAGAAAATAGATTAGTATGTGTATGTATGTATATATATATATATAGAGAGAGAGAGAGAGAGAGAGCGAGAGAGAGAGGATGAGAGACAGAGAGTTATGCAGAGGGGCTCAAGGGTTCAATCCCGTTATCTCGGGTATGCGTTTGACCATTGTAGCCATTATGAAACGGAAAATATCACGGCAGATGGTGCTCGAACAAACAGTTGGACAATAATATCCATCCTGCCATTTCGTAGCCGTCTGCCCAGGTTTGAGGAGAGAGTGGATATGACAGACAAGAGGTTCGATAAGCTCGAACTATTTCCAATGATGGGGGAATTCGTTATAATCAGGCTCGAGCTCATTTTTACCCCTGAGACTTACAAGCTCAAGGTCATGACAATCTCCCGGACGTGTCATCTGAGCAGCTCCTCACGATCGGCACCGAGACAAGTCGGTGATGCCAACCTTAGGGGTAGGGATACGGTCAGGAACGTTTGCTTAGCGTGTCGCGGCGCCCCACCACCCCTCGGCGCGACACGATAAGCGCGTCCCGGTCCCCAAGCATCAACAACGTTCTGGGTTGTTCCCGGTCTCCCCTCCTGCCTCCTCCTCCCTCCTCGTCATCCTCCTCCCCTCCTCTCCCCTTCTCCCCCATCCCTTCCCCTCCTGCCCTCCTCTCCTCCCTTTCTTCCCTCCCTCTCCTCTCTCCCCTTCGCCCTCCCCTCCTCCTCCCTCCCCTCCTCCCCTCCTTGTTGTAAGGCTTGGCAGGCTTGGGGATGTTAAACGAATCACCTCCTCCCCTCCCCCCCCCCTCTCCTCTCCCCTCCCCTCCCTCGTCGTCCTCCTCCCCTCCTCCCTCCCCCCTTTCTCCCTCCTCCACTCTGCCTCCCCTCCTCTTCCCTCCTCGTCATCCTCCGCCCCCGCAGAGGGCTCCCGCGCGCGCTCTCTCGTTTCCCCGTCCACGTCACCGCTCTCTGGATTCCTGGCATCCTTGCCTTCCTCTCGGGCGGCTGCCTTCCTTTGCCCCCCCCTCCCCCCCCCCCAAGGGGCGGGGCGTGCGTTGCCCGGCGTCTCCGCAGCGCAAGACGGAGAGCCCAAGAAGAGCACACCACGGGAGCGTCGTCGTCACCGACGTGCCAGACTACACACCAGTCGTGCGACCACGTCCCGAAGATCTCAAGAGCAGCACGCCAGCAGGAGAACGATGGGAGGGGGAGGGGGAGGCAGACAACTCTCAGCCCGACCGCGCAACCCGATCGCCGATCGAACACCCCTGGCTGCCCAGGTCTTTTTCTCGGCAAGCGCAGCGCGCTCAACCGCGTCAACTGTGAGGAGCAGTGCCCCTCCTCCTGCTGATTGTGCAAGTTTGTTTTGTCCGCCGCCATCGAAGTATCCAAGTCCACCTTCTGGGTTCGCCGTGCACGTCTGCGTTCTATCAGGCTGGATCCCCCAGGCTACCTGACGCCATGTCTGCTGGGGGTTTCACCGAACTCATAGTGATATGTCGAGATTCGCTCTTAGGGCCGTTGATGTTTTTGCTTTGAGCCGCCTTCGATTATCCTGCAATTCTGTGACAGCTTATTATTCGTCAGAATCTACTCTCTGGTCTCTGTGTTCTGTTTCGGATCCCTCCGACCCCCTGACGTGTAGCTGGGCAAATTCAATCCGCTCCTCTATACATAGTGTGTGTTGACACAACTTACATTGCGACCGTGTGGGCTACGTTTGGGGCGACCCGAGAGGGCCCAATACAGGCCGAGACGGCCCCAAGACGGTCCAGCATGGCCCACGAGGTTCCGAATCTTCTTTTCAAGAGGACCAGTACCAGCCAACGACAGCGTAAGATGGCCCCATTACGGCCAGAGGACAGACCAACAGGTTTCCAAGGCGGCCCAAGGGGCCCGAAGAGGACCCCCAGAGGCCGCCAAGAGGCAAACACACACTGAACCACACCGGTTTTCTGCGACTTTGGCATGCTGGCCGTCTCTGTCTTCAGAGCCTCCAGGACGGCCCCAGAGTGCCCCAACACTGCCCCAGGGGGTCCCACGTGCGCCCGAGGGGGCTCCAGGAGCGGCCCAAGGCTGCCCGAGAGCGGTCCGTACAGCCGAAGCGGGCCCTCGGCCCGCGAGGGCCGTGGGATGTTCCGAGGCTCTACTCTTCGAGGCGACCACGACCTGCCGAATGTGGCCCAGCATGGCCCCAGTGCGGCCGCCGCGCAGACAAAGAGGCCACCGCGACGGCCCAAGGAGGCCCGACGAGGCTCCCCAGGAGGGCGCCACGTGGCACAACACATGCACGGTCATGCGGTTTCGGTCCACGTTTGGCACACTCGCCGTCTCGGTCTTCAGAGCCTCCAAGACGCCCAAGAGCCCCCCACTACTGCCCCGCCCAAGAGGGGTCGGGGACGACGTCGGGGTTGTGTGGTGTGTGCGTGTTCCCCTGCTTTCTCGGGGAAACAGCGAATAAGAGGTATATATATATATATTATCATACGCACCTCTCCGAGGAAGTAGAGCTCAGAGGCGATTAATGCATACGCGCCGCATCGTTCGCGATTTTTCTGGCCGTTTCGCTAGGGACATCCTTGAAATTATGAAAATCGGTGGCACCCCTCACGCAGATCGCGACGTCAGGGTCCAACAACACATAGGAATTCAACATTTTGACATAACACTTTCGAAAACACATTGTAATTTCAATGATTTTGACCCCGATTCTCAGAGAATGGCTGTTTCGCCTGAGACATCCTCCCAAAATCGAGCCCCGACGTACCTTCTGATACCCCAGACCCGGCCTCGGAGCCTCCTGGGGGCCTCCTGGAACCTCGTATCCCAGACCCCGCCTCGGAGCCTCCTGGGGGTCTCCTGGAACCTCCTGGGGCCTCTTGCGGTATCCAAGTCGGGCCTCCTGAGGCTTCCTGGGGGGCCCTGGTACGCACATCGCAAGGTGTGGCAACCCCACTTGCCCTCGTCGATCCTCCTGCTCGATCCCCAATCCTTTGGGAGGGGCTCTTACTCGATCTTACATTCTTCTGCGTTCACCTCCTGCCTCTTCCCCTTCTCTTAGGCACGCCCTGGCGGCGCCGCCCCAGCTTTCCCTTCTCCATCTCCGATCCCGCCGTCATGGTGTCGTCCTGCTTCAACCGCCTTTCAGTTTTTTTGTGTGAGACGTGCCACTTATATATATATATATATGCATACACCAGGATCCCGTATATACCAGGATCCGCTTTCCTGTGCGACTTTCGGTGCGGGGCTGGGTAGAGTAGAGCAGCAAAGGAGCTGGAAAACCAGAGTGTGGGTCAAAATCGTTCAGTGCGGAGACCGGCGGTGGTCAAAGATGTTGGCAGACTGGAGCCCTGAAGGTGTCCGCCTGACCGGGTGCCCCCGCACGCGCTGGCAAGATTGATTTTCCCACGAGGCAAGCGAGCCCGGCGCCTCCCGAGGCACGGGCGCGGGACACCCCCCGCAGCGCTTCCTTCCTTCCTTTCGGTGCGGGGCCGCACAAGGCGTCGGTGTACAGAGCTCGGCTCCTGGCCTCCAGCCGGCAGCATCGCGCCTCGGGGGTGGTCGGGGCGCCCAGCCCCAGGTGCTCTCCAGGCGGCCAGCGGCCTGGGGCGCAGTCGTCTCGGGAGGCCTCTGTTTGGCAGTTTTTTTGGCGGAATTGGGGACCTCTCCGGCCGTCCTGGGGCGTCGGGGAGCCGAAAAGGCGCTAGCACCAAATTCTAGACGCCTCGCGTGACCCCGCCAGCCCATCCAGGAGCGATGCCCAGACGAGTTGCCCCTGATCAGGGATGTGGAGTAGAATGCAGTGGAATAAAGGGTTGGGTAAGACGTCGTACCCCAAGGAGGGGGAGGATGGAGGAGGAATCGGAGGGGAGCAAGAGGAGAAGGATGATGAGCAGGAGGAGGAGGAAGAGGAGGAGGATGAGGAGGAGACGGAGGAAGAGGAAGGAGTAGGAGAGCGTGGGCCAGAACGTGGAGGAGGAGGAGGAGGAGGAGGAGGAGGAGAAGGAGGAGGAAGAGGAAGTGTGGGAGGGGGTGGAGGCAGGAGGGAGGAGGAGGAGTAAACGGATGATGAGGAGGAGAAGGATGAGGGCCAAGGGGGGGATGAGGAGGAGCAGGAGGAGGAGGAGGAGAAGGAGGAGGAGGAGAAGGAGGAGGAGGAGGAGAAGAAGGAGGAAAAGGGCGAACGGAAGAGTCATAATCCTCTTGCGTGCCTCTCAGAGTATCCTCGGATGTCTCTTGGAAACTTTCTGGAGGCCTCTTGGGGCGTCTGGGGGGCATCTTGGCGAGCCCAAGGCCGTCTTTGAACGTCTTGGGTGCCTCGGGGAGCCTCTTAGGGTTCTCTTGGGGTTCTCTTGGGAGTCTCATGGGGGCATCTTGGGGCCTCCTTGGCGCCTCTTGGGGCCCTCTCGGGGCGCTCTTGGGAGCCTTGGGGACGCTTTTGGAACCATCTTGGAGGAGATCGATCAAGCAAGGGGGGAGCTCTAATTTCGACCCCCCACTCGGGAGCCCCAAGCATCTTCTCCTGGACCCCTCTTGGACCGCTCGTGGAGCGCTTTTGGGCGCTCTTGGGGGCTCTTGAGGCCGTCTTGGAGGCCACTTGAGCCTCTCTTGGGGCCCTCTGGGGTCATCTTGGAGCCACATTGAGGCCTCGGAAGGCCATCGGAAGCGAAACAGCGAAAACCCAACACGCATTGTAGACGGATTTTGGCCTCTTGGTGGCCTCCTGGGGAGGTTCCGTGGCCATCAGGGGCCGTCTTGGAGCGTTCTTGGGGCCTCTTTGGAGCCATCTTAGGGCATCTTGGGATATCGTGAGCCATCTTGGAGGTCATCCTGGGCTCTCTGAGGCGCTCTTGGAGCCGTCTTGGGCGAACGAGTACCTTCTGACACCTCGCGGGGAGCCCCCTCCAGGTCCAGGGGAGGGGGTCGGGGGAGGGGTCAAGGAACCCTCCGAGTTAGCAAGCCGTCTAGCTCACTCCCACCCGCCCTCCCAACACAGAAGTGACACCCGAGCCTCAGCATGTTCGGCGGTCGTCTTTGGATGGGCAGCTACTGGGAACCAACACCGAGCCCATGTGCGCGACGCTGGGGCGAGGTGCTCCACGCGTGCCAGGCGCGCCACGCGCGCCAGGCACCCCTGGGGCCCGAGCGTCCCAGGCATGCCAGGTGCGCCAGATGCGCCACGTGCCTCGGCGTGCGCCAGGTGTGCCGCATACTCCAGCCGCGCCAGGTGAGCCACGTTCGGGGCACGTGCAGAGTGTGTCAGGTGCGCCTGCGCACGTGGCAGCACATCGGGAAACATGTTGCCCCCACCATCCTTGTCGAAAACCAATGCCCATAGTTGTGTCTGGTGGGCCTGCGCACGGCAGGCCATACTCCACTACCCCCGCCGTCCTTAGCAAAAACCAATTGATAGTGATCGCGGGGTGGCCGCGCATGATGCAGATTTGGCCTCGAGGTGTATTTTTTTTGTCAGGGATGCTAGCCCTGCGCGCAGCAGGCAATCTGCTGACACCTCCGCCGTCCCTGTCAAAAGCAATACGAAGTACTCGCGGGCCTCACGATCATGACTCCAGACTTTGCCCCCACATGTTTTTTCCCCAACCATCCTGTGGTGTTGGGTCCTCGTTTTGAAGAGACAGCGCCCCGCGTCTCACCTCACCTCACCTCACCTCACCTCACCTCCCTCCCTCCTCCCCCTCCTCCCTCCTCCCATCCTCCTCGTCATCGTCATCGTCATCATCATCATCATCATCATCATCATCATCATCATCATCATCGTCATCATCATCATCATCATCATCATCATCATCATCATCATCATCATCATCATCATCATCATCATCATCACCATCGTCATGATCCACATCATCATGATCATCACCATCGCCATCGTCCGCGCTGCGCCCCTCACACGGTTCGCGGCCCCATAGGGAGCTCCACCGAAGGCCCTTGTGGCAGGGTCCACATGGCGGCACCGCCCCATCTTGGCTCACGCTTCACACGATTCGTGGCCCCGTAGGGAGCTCCACCGAAGGCCCCAGTGGCAGGGTCCACATGGCGGCGCCGCCCCATTTTGGCGCACCCCTCACACGGTTCGTGGCCCCGTGGGGAGTTCCACCGAATGCCCCACTGGCAGGGTCAACATGGCGGCGCCGCACCCCTTTCGGTGCACCTCTCACACAGTTCGTGGCGAGCTCCACCGAAGGCCTCTGTGGCAGGGTCCACATGGCGGCGCCGCCCCATCTTGGCGCACGCTTCACACGGTTCGTAGTTCCATAGAGAGTTCCACCGAAGGCTCCAGTGGCAGGGTCCACATGGCGGCGCAGCGCCATTTTGGCGCACCCCTCACACGGTTCGTGGCCCCGTAGGGAGCTCCACCGAAGGCCCCCCTGGCAGAGTCCGCATGGCGACGCCGCCCCATTTTGGCGCACCCCTCACACGGTTCGTGGCCCCATAGGGAGCTCCACCGAAGGCCCCAGAGGCAGGGTCCACATGGCGGCGCCGCCCCATTTTGGCGCACCCCTCACACGGTTCGTGGCCCCATAGGGAGCTCCACCGGAGGCCTCAGTGGCAGGGTCCGCTTGGCGGCGCCGTCCCATTTTGGGGCACCATTCACACGGTTCGTGGCCCCAAAGGAGTCTACCGAAGGCCCCAGTACCAGGGTCCGCATGGCGGCGCCGCCCCCATTTCTGCGCACCCCTCACGCGGTTCGTGTCCCCATAGGGAGCTCCACCGAAGGCCCCAGTGATAGGGTTCGCATGCGTCCCCCCGCCCACTTCGACGCACCCCTCACACGATTCGTGGCCCCATCGGGAGCTCCACGGGAGGCGCCAGTGGCACAGTTTGCATGCGTCCCCCCGCCCATTTCGGCACACCCCTCACACGCTTCGTGGCCCCATAGGGAGCTCCGCCGAAGGCCCCAGTGGCAGGGTTCGCACGCGTCCCCTCGCCCATTTCGGCACACTCCTCACACGCTTGGTGGCCCCATTGGGAGCTCCACCGAAGGCCCCAGTGGCGACGTTAGCAGGAGTCCTCCCGACTCATGTCGGCACACCCTTCACACGTCTCGTGGCAGAAGGCTATACCGCGTGCGCCACTCGGAGTTTGCGCGCCCCCCTCCTTCGTCTCATCTCCCTCGCGGCAGTCGCAGCTGCATATGGTTGGATCCTCCGTCACGCTAATTGTTTTTTTGACAGGGATGGTGGGAGGGCGGGGCCCGCATCGGGTTGGTTGCGCATGCTCCGAATTTGGAGGCAGAATGTGTGTTTAACTTTGTTTTTGTTGGCAAGGATGGTTGGATGGGGGTGTGATCATGGTGTCCTCATTGTTTCTGGTTGGCTGCCGGTCGCCTGGGGGAGGGTGTGTATATTCATAGGGAACAGTGATGAACCCCTCCCCGAAGGGGAAGAAGGGGGTTGGAAGAGAAAGCTCTCTAGACCACCTACGCCCAGAGGGCTGTTGGGACTCCTTCAACCACCGAAGGGAGTTCATGGCTTTGGTCTCTTGGGGCCCTCTTGGGAGGCCTCTTGGGGCGCATTGCCAGCTTCTGGAGCGTATTGGGGCCAGCTTCAGCGTCTTGGGGTCATTTTTGGCGGTATTGGAGCCCTCTTGTGTCGTCTTGGAGGCCTCCTTGAGCCCTCTGGGCCCGTCTTGCCCGAGAAAATCATGCGACAAGCCGCGACAAGCCGCGGGGGGTCCCATGGGGGCACGCGACAAACCCCAGTAGATTTCGGCATTCGGGGTCTTGGCTTGCAGAACCTCCTCAATGAGGATCGAGGCACCAGGGATTAGGCAAATGACCTGAGGACCCCCCCACTCCGTGCCCAGAGGCACGGTGGCGGATATACGCATGCATGTATATATATGTATATATATATATATGTGTGTATATGGTTTGTTGAAAGCATTAACAACCTTTACAATCAACCAACTATATGTTCTAATACTTCGTGCTCTTCTGATCTCTCTTATGTGCAGCCCGCCGGGAGGAGCTCGCTCAGTAACCTGGTGATGATGGCCCGCGCCTCGGCGAGGGCTGGCCCGTCGCCCTTTCTGGTTTCTGGGGCGTCGCAGGTACGAAGGATCGAGGCTCGAAGTTTTCGGACGTTTTCGCGAGTTCCTGTAAGGTTTTCCAGCCTCGGGATGCTTTTCAGCAGCTGCACCCCGAATCGTCAGGCAGAGCTGCCGGAGAGCCGAGGTATGACCCGAGAGCCGCCTGCGGTCGGCCATCTCGGCCTCTGGGGGCCGTCGCCGCGCAGCGGGACCCTGGAACCGGGGAAGCGGTCTGCGCCCTTTGGGCTCTGGGGTCCACGGTGTGACAAAAATCCACGACGTCGGCGGTCTGGGAAGGTGTCCTTGGCCCGCTGTGCCCCCGGCTTTTCGCTCCATCTTGGTGTCCCCCCCCCTCCCCGGGTGCCCTCTGGGCCTCGTGCCGCCGGGGGGTCGGAGGGGGGGGGGGGGATCCTGGGAGTCCTGGGGACGCCTTGGGTCAGTCAGGAGGGAGAAAAACACACAGCCGCAATTAATCGTCGATGCCCCAGAAAATATGGGAAACTATGGGGAGTGTGGGGAAGACAAAACCCCCGAAAATATGGGGAATCCTGTTATTTGTGGGTATGTATTTGTGTGCCCCAGGGCCCCTTCAGTCAGGGAGGTCTGCGGAAGCGGGGGTCCTGAGCTCGGGGACCCGCTCCCGGGGGGGGGGGGCGGTCTCAACTTCTGGGGGCCACGCTTGTCGGAGGCGGGCCATCTGAGACGACGGCGGCGCTGCCGCCGCCCTGCGCGGCCGCCACAGGCACCGTGGGCCCCGACCGGAGGAGGAGGAGGAGGAGGAGGAGGAGGAGGAGGAGAGGGAGGAGGAGGAGGAGGGAGGAGGAGGAGGAGGAGGAGGAGGAGGAGAGGAGAGGAGGAGGAGGAGGGAGGAGGAGGAGGAGGAGGATGAGGAGGAGGAGGGAGGAGGAGGAGGAGGAGGAGGAGGAGGAGGAGGAGGAGGAGGAGGAGGAGGACGGATGGAGGGGCTGATGATTGTGATGATGATGATGATGATGATGATGATGATGATGATGATGATGATGATGATGATGATGCTGATGCTGATGCTGATGCTGATGCTGATGCTGATGATGCTGATGCTGATGCTGATGCTGATGCTGATGCTGATGCTGGTGCTGATGCTGATGCTGCTGATGATGCTGCTGATGACGATTCTGATGCTGATGATGATGATGCTGATGATGATGATGATGATGATGGTAGTGATGATGATGATGATGATGATGATGATGATGATGATGATGATGATAATGATGATGATGAAGATGACGATGCCGATGCCGATGATGATGATGCTGATGCTGATGCTGATGATGATGCTGCTGCTGATGATGCTGATGATGACGCTGATGATGATCATCCTGATGATCATGATACTAATGATATTGATGCTTATTATAACGATGATGATGCTGATGCTGATGCTGGTTATGACGACGATGATGAGCTGATGCTGATCATGCTTATGATGATGCTGTTGATAGTGGTGGTGATGATGACGATGCTTCTGATGATGGTGATGATGCTGCTGCTGATTATGATGATGCCGATGTTGATGATGATGATGATGATGCTGATGCTGATGCTCATGATGCTGAGACTGCTGATGATGCTGATGATGATGCTGATGATGATGCTGCTAAGGATGATGCTGCTGCTGCTGATGATGATGATGATAATCACGATGATGGTGATGCTGCTGCTGATGATCATGATGATGTTGATGCTGATGCTGATGATCATGATATGATGATGACGGTGGCGATGCCGATGCCGATGCCGATGATGATGCTGCTGATGATGATGACGATGGTGCTGATGCTGAGGCTGCTGATGATTATGATGCTGATGCTGATGATGCTAATGATGCGGATTTGATAATGCTGATACTGATGTAAAGGCTGCTGATGATGATGGTGATTATGATAATGCTGGTGATGATGCTGATGATGCTGATGCCGCTGATGGTGATGATGATGATGATGATGCACATAATTCTGATGATGATGCTGATGATGATACTGATTCTGATGCTCATGCTGATGATGCTGATGCTGATGCGGATGATGATGATGCTGATGATGATGATGATAATGATGCTGATGCTGATGATGATGATGATGATGATGATGATGCTGATGCTGATGCTGATGCTGAAGATGTTGCTGAGACTGCTGGTGATGATGCTGATGATGATGACGATGCTGATGATGATGATGATGATGATGCTGATCATACTGATGATTCTGATAGTGATGATGATGATGATGATGATGATGATGATGATGATGATGATGATGATGATGATGACGATGACTATACCGATGATGATGCTGATGCTGATGCTGATGCTGATTACGACGACGATGATGATGCTGATGTTGATGATGCTGATGATGGTGACGATGATGATGCTGATGATGATGCCGATGCTTCTGATGATGGTGATGATGCTGCTGCTGCTGATTCTGATGATGCTGATGATGATGCCGATGTTGATGTTGATGATGCTGATGCTGATGCTGATGATGATGCTGACGACGATGCTGGTGATGCTGATGATGATGCTGCTGATGATGATGATGCTGATGATGCTGCTGCTACTGATGATGATGATGAGGATGATGATGATTTCGATGATGGTGGTGCTGCTGCTGATGATCATGATGTTGATGGTAGTGGTGATGATGATGATGATGAGCTGATGATGACGATGGCGATGTCGATGCCGATGCTGACGATGCTGATGATGATGCTGATGCTGAGGCTGCCGACGATCATGATATTGATGCTGATGCTGATGATTCTGATGATGTTGATTTCGATGATCATGATGCTGATGTAAATGCTGCTGATGATGATGGTGATGATGATGCTGGTGATGCTGGTAATGATGATGATGCTGATGATGCTGACGATGCTGTATATGATTATGATAGCGATGATGGTCCTGATGATGATGATTCTGATGATGATGAGGATGATGCTGATGATGATGCTGATGATGATGCTGTTGAGGACGATGATGCTGCTGATTATGATGATGCTGATGCTGCTGCTGATGATGATGCTGCAGACGATGCTGATGATGATGACGATGATGATCCTGCTGCTGATGATGATATTGATGATGATGCTGATGTAAAAGCTGTTGATGCTGATGGTGATGATGATGATGCTGGTGATGGTTGTGATGATGCCGATGATGGTGATGCTGATGCACATGATTATGATGGTGATGACGATTCTGATGATGATTCTGATGATGATGATGCTGAGGATGCTGATTATGATGCTGCTGCTGCTGCTGATGATGATGCTGATGCTGATGATGATGATGCTGATGCTGATGATGATGCTGATGCTGATGCTGATGATGATGCTGATGATGATGATGAGGATGATGATGATGATGATGCTGATGATGATGATGATGCTGATTGATGATGATGATGATGATGATGATGATGATGATGATGATGATGATGATGATGATGATAATGATGATGATGATGATGATGATGATGATGATGATGATGATGATGATGATGATGATGATGATGATGATGATGATGATGATGATGATGATGATGATGTATGGCGATGGTGATGTATGGCCATGGTAATGAATGATGGTACCTCTCAGTCTCGCAGTTTTCCTGTGACCGCCCCCTCTGCCTTCTCCCGCACCATCGCGGCCGAGGTACACAAGAGTACGACCCGCGTCCTTGCGTTCAAGTTCACGCAGGCACCCTCGCGGCCGAGCAGTGCCTGCCTCCCCTCGCGCTTGGGTCACCCGCGCGGGCGCAGAGACAGTCGCGCCTCGCTCGTCGCGGTCTGTGCTGGGGCAGCTGCCTTGATCCAAGGTGACCTCGCGAGGACGCGAAGATAAACGTGCGCCGCGGATAGCTGGGCGCGATGTGCGAACTGGGTTGCCTAGGCACACGTCCAATGCCCCTTGGCAGTCGGCCTGTGCCCTTCTGGTCCTCGCCGCGCGCCGCCCGACCAGCTGACCATGTCAGCCCGAGTCGCGTCGGTCATCGCGACGGCGGCAAATCAGGAATGCTGGTGAATCACGAGGGCGAGGATGATGCGACGATGCAGGCGACGATGTTGACGAATGGTGCTGACGCCGATGCGTCCTGGGGGCACCAGGAGCGGGCGGATGCCCAGGACAGCCCTCGTCGCATCGGCTGGGCTGGACTCGGTGCGGTCGATCACTCCCGTCGGAGGGCATGTGACCGCCGCGGCTCGGCCTCGAGCCGCCGTGCCGAGGCTCGGGCCAGGTCGCCCTGACCGTCCAGCCCGGCACGCAGCGCCGCTCGGGGCGCGTGGCCGCAGCGCCAGTCGCGAGTGCCCGAGGCCGCCTGCGCACTCCTCGTGGCGAAGATTCCCCAGTGGGGGTGCCCGCATGCGGTTCCCCCCACCCAGGGCAGCGTTTCGTAGCCCCATAGGGAGCTCCACCGACGGCCCCAGTGGGGGTGCCCGCATGCGGTTCCCCACCAAGGGTAGCGTTTCGTAGCCCCATTAGGAGCTCCACCGAGGCCCCAGTGGGGGTGCCCGCATGCGGTTCCCCCACCCAGGACAGCGTTTCGTAGCCCCATACGGAGTTCCACCGAAGGCCCCAGTGGGGTGCCCGCATGCGGTTCCCCCGCCCAGGGCAGCGTTTCGTAGCCCAACAGGGAGCTCCACCGAAGGCCCCAGTGGGGTTGTTCGCATGCGTCTCCCCTACCCAGGACAGCGTTTCGTTGCCCCACAGGGAGCTCCACCGAAGGCCCCAATCGGGGTGTTCGCATGCGTCTCCCCCACCCAAGACAGCGCTTCGTGGCCCCATAGGGAGCTCCACCGAAGGCGCCAGAGGGTCTCCCCCACCCATGACAGCGCTTCGTGGCCCCATAAGGAGCTCCAGCGAAGGTCCCAATGGCGCAGTTCGCATGCGTCTCCCTCGCCCAGGGCAGCGTTTCGTGGCCCCATAGGGAGCTACACCGAAGGCCCCAGTGGCGGTGTCCACATGCGTCCGCGCCACCAATTTCGGCGCACTCCTCACAAGTTTCGTGGCCCCATAGGAGCTTCACCGAAACTGGTACCCACAATGCGGTACTCGCAACTGCACATGGTTGGGTCCTTCGTCAGGCTAATTGATGGATTTTGGAGTCTTCAGCTTTTTGGCATCCCGACGCTTCAAGACAGCCCAAGAGGTTCCCAAGACCGCTCCAAGATAGCCGAAGAGGTCTTCAAGAGGGCTCCAAGACGGCCCACGAGGGCCCCAAGACGGTGCCTGAGGCGCCCAACACGGCCCAAGAGGGCCCCAGGACGGCCCCAAGAGAGGCCCAAGAACGGGAACGAGAACCCAACAGCAGAGCCTGTCGCCCTGCGAGGCCCATAGGAGGCCCCAAGAGTTTCCAAGTGGTCCGACGATGCCCCCAACAGCCTCTCAAGAGGCTCCGAAAGGCCCACAGAAGACGTTTAAGGGGCCCCAAGATGGCCGAACAGTGCCCTCGATGCATCGAAACTGCCTCCATGAGGCCCCAGGGGATTTTCTGGATTGCCTCATGTGGCCCCAGGTGGCCTCAAATCGGGCCTCCACGCAGCCAAGAAGGCCAACGACGGCTTCATGTTGCAGAATAGCACTTTCCGACTGTCCAGAGAACCCTGACGATGCCCCGAAGGGACCCCAAGAAGCCCCAATACGGCCCCCAAGAAGCACCTAGGAGGTGCCTTCAACAGCCAATTGAGGAAGTACCGAGAACCCCTCAGAAGCCCTTCAGATGCTCCTACGAAGACCCACGGGGTTCCCAAGAGGCCCTCAGGAGGTTCGACTACGTCACGCGCCTGTGCTTGATAGCGCTGTCCAAGATGTTCCAGCGTCCTCTCAGCCTGGGCTAGAATCTGAGCGCGCGCGAAGCGCGCGCGCGATGGTTCTAGCCCAGGTAATTCTGGAGAACTCGTAAAAGCTCCAGCGCGAGACGAGGGACACGATTAATCGTTGAGCCCTTGACGACTCCATGTCTCCTTCTGCCGCAGGTCTGGGGCGACGCCGACGGCGATCAGACGCTGCGAGGCATGAAGCTCGCTGACGACTCCGACGACGAGGCTCGGAGCTCGCGGATCTCTTGCGCGGCCGCCGCCTCCTGTTGCTCTGGTCGCCACCGCGGTCCGTCGCAGGGGGAGGAGGAGGACGAGGTCGCCATGAAGGGAAGGGAGGAGGAGGAGGAGGAGGAGGAGGAGGAGGAGGAGGAGGAGGAAGGAGGAGGAGGAGATGAGGAGGAGGGGGAGGAGGGGGAGGAGGCGGAGGAGGAGGAGGAAACCCGAGACCGCGCAGAAGAGAGCCCCATGAGGGTCCAGAGAAGGATGAGGTCGCCATGACGGGAAGAGGTCCTGAGGGACACGGGTCCTGAGGTGCTTCCTCGCTCTCGCGCCGTCATGCCCCTCCGCAGGCCCCGGGACCGTCAGAACACGACTCAAAATGAAACTCCTCCTCCTCCTCCTCCTCCTCCCCTCCTCCTCCTCCTCCTCCTCCTCCTCCTCCTCCTCCTCCCCCTCCTCCTCCCTCCTCCCTCCTCCTCTCCTCCTCCTCCTCCTCCTCCTCCTCCTCCTCCTCCTCCTCCTCCTCCCCTTGCCAATGCTGCTCCAGACTCTTCTGGGGGAATCGGCTGGGGACGCACGGGGCGCCACTAAGGGTGTGGGTTTGCCACGCCCGACGAGCACCCCAGCCGAGCCCCTGGAGAAGTGAGTAGCGGGGCGACAGTGGCAAGAGGCCAGCACGGGTGCTAGCCTCCAGGACAGCCCAGCGGCAAGGCCGGCGGTCCTGCTTACCCTCACCATTCGCACACCTGAGGCACTGACCTCCAGGACATAGCCCAGCGCAAATGCCGGCGGCCCTGCTGACATCCCACGCGCGAACACCAGAGGTGTTGACCTCCAGGACACAGCCCGGCGGCAGTGCCGGCGGTCCTGCTTTCACCCCCACTCGCACATTTGAGGTGCTGACCTCCAGGACACTGCCCGGCGGCAATGCCAGCAGTCCTGCCTTCACTCCACACTCGTACACCATAGAGGCATCGTCCTCCAGGACACAGCCCAGCGGCGAGGCCGGCGGTCCTGCTCCCACTCAACATTCGCACACCAGAGGCATTGACCTCCAGGACATAGCCCGGCGCAAATGCTGGCGGTCCTGCTGCCATCCCACTGCACATCAGAGGTGCTGACCTCCAGGACACAGCCCAGCGGCAACGCCGGCGGTCCTGCTTTCACCCCCATTCGCACATTTGAGGTGCTGACCTCCAGGACACTGCCCGGCGGCAATGCCACCAGTCCTGCCTTCACTCCACACTCGTACACCATAGAGGCATCGCCCTCCAGGACACAGCCTGGCGGCGAGACCGGCGGTCCTGCTCCCACTCAACACACGCACACCAGAGGCACTGACCTCCAGGACACAGCCCGGCGCAAATGCCGGCGGTCCTGCTGCCATCCTACGCGCGAATCCAGAGGTGTTTACCTCCAGGACACAGCCCGGCGGCAATGCCGGCGGTCCTGCTTTCACCCCCAATTGCACATCAGAGGTGCAGACCTCCAGGACAACCTGACGGCAATGCCGGCAGTCCTGCCCTCATTCCACACTCGTACACCATAGAGGCATCGTCCTCCAGGACAGAGCCCAGCGGTTAGGCCGGCGGTCCTGCTTCCAGTCAACGTTCACACACCAGAGGCATTGACCTCCAGGACATAGCCCGGCGCAATGCTGGCGGTCCTGCCGTCATTCCACGCTCGCACACCAGAGGTGCTGACCTCCAGGACACAGCCCGGCGGCAATGCGGGCGGTCTTGCTTCCATTCCACACTCGCACAACAAAGGTATAGACCCCGAGCGGAAATGCTGGCGGTCCCGCGTTTGTTTTACCCCTCGAATGCGGCGCGTTTCTACTTGCGCTGGGCTCAAGTTCCGCACTCGTACACAAGAGGTAGTGACCTCCAGGACACAGCCCGGCGGCAATGCCCGCAGTCCTCCATAGTATTGCCCACATTCAGATCACGAGGCATCGACCTCCAGGACACAGCCCGGAGGCAATGCCGGCGGTCCTGCACTCACTTGGTTTATTAAGTATTGTGTCCAATTATATTTATACTTCAGTTAATTATTAGGTTGGTTGCAACAGGGTGTGACAAGGACTTCCCAAGAAACTTGCTTAACAATATACGGCATCGCACATTCTCTGTCGCAGGGATCTCTCTCCCTGTTTACCCCCAGACATTTCTGGCTTCATCTAGAGCCCCCTCGAATCACAACAACAATAGAATATGGACATTGCAATCTGCATGAACGCATGCTGTGAACGGCCCTGCCGGGCACGGGGGGGCACAATTTGTTAACATCGCTCCGTCCTCTTTCCTTGGTCCCTTCTCCTCCCCCTCTTCCTTCCAAGCGTCCCTCCACCCTCCCAACCTTTGTCCCCCTCCCCTTGTGTCCCCCTGCTACGCTCCCTGTCCCACGCCCTTCACTGCCGTTCAGACTTTCACACTACAGGTGCATAGGGCAGCGTACCATTACTCCATTTTGTCCCGAACCAGGTACCGAGAGGGGCAAGTTGCGAGGGCCGCGTTCACTCCCAAGGGGGGCTGGCGTGCCAGACGCGAGCTCCGCCGACGCCGTGCATAGCGGTGGGGATCGGGGGTTGCACCAAAATATTGACCCCCAGGTGGCGAAAGCCAGGCCGTGGTTTTGTGCCGCCACTTCTAAGGCCCTGAGAAGGGCCATACGCACCTCCGAAGCAATCTGTATCAGTTGCGCGAAGCCTTTCCCGCGCACCGGAGCAGCCCTTCCGGCTGTCGTCTCCGAGGATGGCCGAAACCAAACCGGGGAGAGTTCAGAAACCGTGGGGGACGTACCACGTCAGTGGCCACCTCACCCATTCATAACACTTCATCCCCCATGCGTTAAGATCCCTGGAAACCATTTGACTCAAAGGATTGGTTTCTGCCATCCTCAAGACTAAGGATGAGACCTCCTAGAGCGTTTACAACTCCCTTTCTGCATGGGCATGCTGCTTTGGGCAGCGGGTGAGTGGGAATCCGCAACACCCTGACAAGGGTTCTGATGGTCGCCTCATCCTTAAAGATGGGTTCTAGGTGCCTTCAAAGCGTATTGCGTACCTGGCAGTCCTCCTCCTCCTCCTCCTCCTCCTCCTCCTCCTTTGCCTCCTCCCCCTCCCCCTCCTCCCCCTCCTCCTCCTCCTCCTCCTCTTCCTCCTCCTCCTTCTCCTCCTCCTCCTCCTCCTCCTCCTCCTCCTCCTCCTCCTCCTCCTCCTCCTCCCCCGAAAAGGTGGTTGTGGGGGGATGTCCCAGGGTCGGGGACACGTTTCCCTCAGGAACCGCTTCTGTCGCGCCAGATGATTGCCGCGAAGGAAGGGCGAGGGAGGGGAGGGGGACGGGTGAGAGAGGGGGGAGCAGGGCTCATTTCGATCCCTCCGATTCCAATCGATTCGGTGTCGATGGCCTCCGTTTCCGATTCGATTCGACTTCGGATTTCGGTTTGGATGCCGATTTTTCGACTGAGACCTACAAGCTTGCAGATTTCCGCCGATTCGACTTCTCCCGACTCGGCCGCCGATTTCCGCCGATGCGATTCCTGGTGATCGCCGGCGACTCGTCAATGCGATTCCAGTCTCTCATGGGGGAGGGAGGAAGGCGAGGGAGGGGATGGGGGGGGGCGGATGATCAGGGCTTTTGGGAGTTCTCTTGGCTCTTCGGGCTTCGGAGGCGGGCCTCCAGGGACCTCTGGGGGCCTCTGGGATGGACATCTGGAGGGATGAAGGGGGGAGGGGGGAGGACAGGACTCGTTTCGACCCCGATTCGATTTGATTCCGATGGCTCATGATTTCGATTCGATTCGACTTCGGGTTCCGATTTGGGTTGCGGTTTCTCACTGGAGACCTTACCAGCCTGCCGATTTCCGCCGATTCGACTTCTCCCCACTCGGCTGCCGATTTCCGCCGATCCGATTCATTTTGGTCGCCGATCCGACTTATCGATTCGATTCTGTGCTCTGCTGAGGGGGAGGGGGGAGAGTGAAGGGAGAGGGGGGGAGTGCAAGATCGGTGCGCTCGCGCCATATCTGACTTCATATCCTCCCTCCTATGCCTTACCATGGAGTTGCGTCTCCTCTATTCTTGGAGTCGCCTGTCGAAAGGGCATGGGTCCCACAATGGCCATTCTGTCCCGAAGCGTGGCGAACGCTGAAGCGGGAATACGACTGTGCTGACGCAGCAGTGCGGCCAGCGCGACGGCGAGAGCGTTGTGCTGTGGGACGGAGCCTTTACGGACGTCTCCACGAGTGGCAAACGCTTCAATGGAAGCTAGATTTGTGTTTATGCAAGAGTGCGGCCAGCGCTGTGGCGAGAGCATCGTCTCAGGGGACGGAGACTCAGCGGGAAGTCTTAAATGCGGTTACCGCTTTAGGAGGAACATCTCTGCCGATACCGGATCACGGCCAGCTCTTCAGCGCCAGAGTCGGTCCGTTGGACGGATTTTTGATTAAGTTTGGCCATCGCTTCAGCATGAACATTCTGTTGCTGGACTCCTCCTCCTCCTTCTCCTCCTCGTTCTCCTCATTCGGGGGGGCAAGCTGCGGGCGCTTCGCCTCCTGCGTGGCGCTCTGTGCTGGTGCTGATTTGTTTCCTGGCACGCCTTCTCGCACCCTGGTGCGCACTGAGCAGCCCTGAGCAGTCCTCCTCCTACCCGTCCGCCTCTTCTCCCTCCCTCCTCTTCACTCCTCCCGCGGCTCCCTCGGGGGGGCGGGCTGCGAGCTGCGCAGCTGTGTCGCCAGTGTTTCCTGGGCCACCCCGCGGCTCCCTGGGGCGCCTGGGGCTCCTGGAGGGGCGGAGTGCGGGGAGGCACGGTGGAGTGGTGTGGGGGGCGGGGCACGCGGACCCAGCCGAGGCTCTGCGGTTCCTCGAGAGGGGCCGCGGCGTGCGCCGGCGTCGCCGCGCTCGTGGGCTCCTGGGACGCACGGCCGACGATATGGGGGGGGGCATGCGGACCCCGCGGAGCCCTCGCGGCTCACGGGGAGGCCGCGCAGCGCGCAGCTGTCGCCAC